TATTTTGGTTATTAGATTCTTGTTGGATAAATGGTTTCCAAAGATATTCTCTCAGTTGGTAGCTTGTCTTTTCACTTTTTTGGTAAAATCTTTTGGTGAGCAAAAGTTTTTAATTTTTATGAGGTCCCATTTATTTGTATTTTGCTGTTTGTGCTTTTGTTATTATATTAGATAATACTTTGTTGAAAGTTAGGCCTGACAACATTGCTCCTGCTTGTTCTTTTAAGAATTTAATGGTTTTGGTTTGCACATTTAGGTCCTTCATTCATTTTGAATTGAATTTGTTTTTTATGTATGGTGTGAGGCATGGATCCTGTTTCATTGTTCTGCGTGTGGAAATCCACTTTTCCCAGCACCATTTATTGAAAACACTCTTCTTTCCCCGTCAAATGGACTTAGAACCCTTGTCAGAAATTAGTTGATTGCAGATGTATGGGTTTATTTCTGGACTCTCAATTCTATTCCATTGGTCTGTGTATCTGTTGTTATACCAGTACAAGGTTGTTTTGATTAGCATAGAGGTCCATAGTATGTTGTTGTTGTTAGGTACCATTGAGTTGGTTCCGACTCATAGTGACCCTATGTACAACAGAACGAAACGCTGCCTGGTCCTGCACAGCCTCACAATCCCTCCTATACTTGAGCCTGTCCTTATAGCCACTGTGTCAATCCATCGTGTTGAGGGCCTTCACCTTTTTTGCTGACCCTCTGCTTTACCAAGCATGATATCCTTTTCCAGGGAATGGCTCCTTCTGACAATGTGACCAAAGTAGGTGAGACGAAGTCTGGCCATTCTCCCTTCCATGGAGCATGCTGGCTGTACTTCTTCCAGAACAGATTTCTTCCTTCTTCTGGCAGTCCATGGTATTTTCAGTCTTCTTTGCTAACACCACAACTCAAAAGCGTCAACTCTTCTTCGGTCTTCCTTATTCATTGTCCAGCTATCACATGCATATGAGGTGATTGAAAATACTATGGCTTGGGTCAGGCGCACCTTAGTCTTCAAAGAGACATCCTTGCTCTTCACTTTAAAGAGGTCTTGTGCAGCAGATTTTCCCAGTAGAATACGTCATCTGATTTCTTGACTGCTGCTTCCATTGTTGTTGATTGTGGAACCAAGTAATATGAAATCTTTGACAACTTCAACCTTTTTTCCATTTATTATGATGCTGCTTATTGGTCCAGTTGTAAGGATATTCATTTTCTTTATGTTGAGGTATAATCCATACTGTAGACTGTAGTCTTTAATCTTCATCTGTAAGTGCTTCAAGTCATCTTCACTTCCAGCAAGCAAGGTTGTGTCGTCTTTATATCGCAGGTTGTATGTAGTATAAGATCACGTAATCTTTAATGTTGAAAATACTTTAGGGTCCTGCGGGGGGTTAGGAGTAGGTGTGGAGACTCTGGGACATTTCCAGGAAATTTTTTTGGCGGCAGTTGTCATTTGCTGCTGCTGCTTTGTTGTAGACAAACAGGATTACATTATATTCCTTTCTTCTTTGTGATTCTAAAATAATAAAATAGACTTTGGAGCAAACTTAGTAGAACCAGAATTGAACCTGAATGTTGTATTGAGAGATTATATATGTCCCTGAGCAGTTGGCTCCTTTCAGAAATTAAAATGGTCATTATCCTGTAATGATGGTATCCAAAACCTTTTACACTTTTGCTCCCGTCCCTTCCCCCAGCTAGTTCTACCTCAGGACTGGAAGTTAATGTCAGGTGGGCTTCTCTGCACACTGTCAGTCCTCTCCATCACTTACTGCACTTTTGGACCTTTCCAGGGTCATGCTTCAGGACAAAGAATTAGGGAAAGGACTTGAGCATCCATGGCTGATGTTGGGACCACTATGGCACAGTTTGGTGGGTGAGTGTGGAAGCCATGGCAGCCACTGCTGGACTCTTGGGGCCTGGCTGTGATGGTGGAGAATGATGGATAGAGCCCCCTGTGGATGAAATGATAATGATGGATGATATGTGCGTGTGGCAGACACAGTGCATGAGCTCAGCTGCCTCTGGCACTCAGTAGATAATGAGAAGAGTGTGATCGGAAGCAGCTTCTCTGAAGCACTGTCTCATTGTGTTTTCTCTCTTGCAGGCATGGATGGATTTTTAAAATCCGATGAGAGACAAAGACTAGCCAAAGAAAGACGAGAAGAAAGAGATAAATTTCTTGGTAAGTTGTGCATTTTGAATGTTTAGGTCCAAGGAAGTAGAGATACGGCAGTGTCTTTTCTGAAGACCCTTAAGCAGAAATTTGTGAATACATGGGAAGAGAAGTAGGACAATCACCAGGTAGACATGAGGTATTGGGGGTAAACTATACTGATTGGCATGTTCTCAAATATTACCTCATATAATTCTCAGAACAGTTAGCAAACTTTGAACCTTTGCTATGTCCTTGTCTACCACCTGGGGAAACCCTCACTCAGGTCCCCTCCAGGGTATCTGGATGGGCGTCCCTTAAGAGAATTGAGGAAATGGCACTTAAGTCATTTTCTGTGTGAGAATGGGGAAACCCCTATTAAGAAAGGCTGTCATACGACTCCCAGGTGGACAACTCAGTACACTGTGTTCTCCACAGGGTGTTTTGAATTGAGACAAATGAGGTGAAGTAAGTGGTTTTCAAATTCTTCTGGTGACCTTGAATGCTTCGAACAGTTCTTTTCTCTGTGCCCTCTCAGTGCCTGGTTAGATGAGAACTCTTATATATCCTTCTCCCCTTCTTCTCGCTTTCCCTTCTGCCTTTTCCTTCCCCTCCCCTTTTTTCTTTCCCTCCTTCCCATCCTTCTATCCTTCCCTTCTTCTCTCTCCTGTCTCTGTCTTTCAACCCTTTCCCTCCATCGTACATAATTTTCCTTAAGACAAACTCCTAAAAGGAGAATGAGTTGGTATGAACACTTTTAGGGCTTTTGATAAACATTTCCAAATTATTCTCTAGAAAGACCATTCCAGTTCATAGTAAAGGTAGTCTCACTCCTTGGCTTAAACTCCTTTAGTGGCACCCTGTTGACCTGAGAACAAAATTCAAGCTTTATTGTAGCCAATGAGCAGTGGTGTACTGGTAAGTGTCGAACAACTGCCTCTCCTGGGGAGAAAGAAGCCCTGATTTATAGCTTTTGCTGATGCCTATAGTACAAATTAGGAGCTCTGGTAGCATAGTGCCTAAGGCACTTGACTGCTAACCAGAAAGCTGGCGGTTCAAATCCACCAGCCACTCCTCGGATGGAAGA